AGGCCGGATCTCTTTGGGGTTGCTGCTTTACATGTTTTTGTGTTAACTTGTGATAGTACTGTGTTGTAAGGTTTAAACACCTGGAACAGTTTTCCATCACTTCTACTTCTTATTTGGTATAGGAAGAAAATCAATGGGCTGGCTGCAGCAGTTGTGACAGCCAGAACTTTTCTTGTTTCAATTTATTCACAACGTGTTTTGACCCAGTCTTAATTCTAAGGATGCACCGATATGAAAAGTGGGCCGATATCAATATCCAATATTTATTTTTTTACGTATAAAAGCTTGTCCAGAACTCAGCTGTGAGATTTCTGACAGACACTAGACACGGGAACACATCACTCCGGTGCTGGAACACTTACACTGGCTCATGGTGTAGTACAGAGCCAACTTTAATATCCTTTAAAGCAGTGGTTCCCAACCTTTTTCCCAAGGGACCCCGTTTTTTACCAGTAAAATTGTTGACGACCCCCTCCCATTCTCTCTTCCAGTACAAACATTATTAAGAAATGATAAAATTGTTCAAGCACATTTTAATATGCTTTGATTCAATAGATAACAGTAATAGTAGGCTCCAGTACAGAACAAAGTCATTAACTAAACCAAACAGTGCATAATGTGCTTGACAGTTTGTATTACTTTTCTGAAAACATTGTTTCTTGTAAACACTGATAAATCAATCATTCCTTTCAATAAACGTTTGACACATAAAAAATACACTGAGCAAAATGTTCTTAAATGTGTATATTACTGTTTACTGTATACTAGATTATTTACTGTAAACGCTGTGATTAATCAACCAGTCCTATCTTCAATGAACTTTTGACACTTGAAAATAAAACAGTGAGCTGAGCAAAATGTTCTTAAAAGTGTGTTACTTTTTCTGTACTAATTATTTCCTGTCTTAATATCAGTAAACTTTTCACTCATGAAAAAAAATGTGAGCAAAATGTAGGCTATAAACAAGTAATAAATGAAGTTTTAACCCTTAAAGTGGAGAGGTCCTGGCGACCCACTGAGAGGCTTTGGCGCCCCCTTGTGGGGGTCGGGACCCCCAGGTTAGGAACCACTGCTTTAAAGAAAAGGGTTGAGAAAACTTCAGCCAGTTTCTTCCTCCCTGGAATGTCATAATCGTATACGAATGTTGGATAATTTCTCTATTTCTTTAATTAAATGGAGACATGATTTAGACATGATTTAATTAAAGAAATAGAGAAATGATCCAACATGAATAACCACAAAATGTAAAGTTTATCACTATCATGGTTATGAAAATGTGTCTAAACCTTTCTTACAATTGTTGCACAAACATTAAAAACCTGCAGTAGGATTTCAGGAGATGTCTAAATGATAAATAATTACGTATATCCATTGTTGAGCTCAAAATACTTAAAGTTCAGCATTTTTTGTATAATAAATGAACAAAAACATGAATTAAGTTTGTTGTGTTCTTAAGAAATGTGCAGATTGCATGTCAGTGTAATGACCTTTAAACATGATGCTTGTTATGTTTTAATGAAGCAAGTGTGTGTGTGTGCAGGTTGGGTTTATAAGAGGAAGTGCCTCAGTTTGGTGAATTTAATGGGTAATGAAGACGGTATCAATAGATTTGTTTTTACAAATAGCTTCATATTTTCACAGTTAAGTAAATGAGGAGTTGTGGCGCTGAGCAGCAAGTTACAAGTAGAGCTGCTTAAAAACACCTTCATTCAGAAGCTGCAGCAGGCTTAAAGGCTAGATGGCACAGCTTTATCTGTAACGTCGTGAGCAGATGCCAAGGACTAGTTAGGTCTGCGTTTCTCTCACAACATCAACATTTCCCCCTTAGTTTCTGCAAAGAATTACACTTTGATAGAGTCTAAAACACAGGCCTCACAAGACTCTGGATAATTAAAAACCTCCAGTGTTCTCTCAACACCACCTTCTTACGTCTGCTGGGAGAGTCAACAGCAAAGTCACTCATCTGAAGGTAAACTAGTAATTAAACAGCAATACTTAAAATGGAAATGCACAAACTGCTATGAAGCTCTCGAGACTTGTTTTAAAACATCTGATGCCTGGCTCCTTTGTGATTTGGCTGTGGCTTATTTAGCTGCTGAATCTCTCTTTCTCCAAACTGAGGGTATTTAAAGAGGTGGCTAACTCCAAACTGAGGGTATTTAAAGAGGTGGCTAACTAACTGGTAAAGCGTTAAGTTTTAGTGGAGCCTTTAGTCCTCATTGGTCCCGAGTAGGGCTGGGCAATAAATCAAAAATGTATCGTTATCGAAATTTCTGACTCTTATCGTGATCATTTTTCTCATGTCAATAAATTTGATTATAATAAAAAAAGATAAGATGTGTGTAGGTTGGCAGTGTTCATGTCCCTTTAAGAAGCTGCACCAACTTGGATCATGTAAAAATGGGCTTGTTCAAGATGAGCCAGTTCTGCGCAGATTCGATCACCGGTGATCGGCGCACAGTGCATGGCACTTAGATTTGTGTCCAACTTAACACCGACTCGCTCTGATGTCATGCATACGTAGGCAACGATAACCTCGTGAGATCAAGGCGGCCGCAGATTTTGGAGCAAGGCGCTGCAGTTGCTCTCCTCCTGCTGCAAAACCTAGGGGATGACGGGAAACGCCTGGCTCTCACCTGATCTAAAATCTAATTGGTTCACATTTTGATCCAAACATCCGATGGTAGAATGCAAAATGCTAGTTGGTCACATCCATCCATCTATTGTCTGAACCCGCTTGCAGGGGGACTGGTGCCTATCTCCAGCGGCAATCAGGCGGAGTACACCCTGGACAGAGTGCCAGTCCATCGCAGTAGTTGGTCACATGTAGGGCTGCACGATATTAGGAAAACCTGCGATATTCGATAACAGTGCTTAATATTGCGATATCGATATTACTCACGATAAATGAACAAATACTAAAGTATGCAGTGTTGATGTCATCTGGCGTGTGACGTCTGCTCTGGGTTCAAAGCAAAAAAAAACTAATGCATGAATTCCATTACAACATAACATTTTTATTGCAAAAATATGCAGCTGCACCTGCTACTGTATTAGCAGCAAAACAACAAACTGCATGCCTGCAGTTTCTCAGTGACTTTAAAACATCACCTCCACCATAAAACTTTTCCTGATGCTCCAAATACAGAAAAACATCCCTTACCAGGGTTTTTAGAATAAATAAAAAAATCAGAAAATAAGTTTAAATGTTAAATAATAGTTAACATCACTTAAATGCAACAGCAAATTCTCTCATTGCTACTGAGCATTTTCTCCACTTATGTGGTTATGATATAAGGCTGTTGCTGTAATTGGGAAGTGATCTGTGCTGGGCCAAACTAGGAGAATATTAAGATTTTCTGAGGGAAAGAGAAAAACTATTGTCTACCTTTCAGAAGAGGAACTGGCAAAAAAAATACATGGAAAAATATGTGAAAACGTTTGTTTTTAACCCTGAATTGAACAAGTTTACCTAGATCTTAAAAAGCAGCTCAGATGATGAAACTGCAACTATGATTCTGATAACAAGCTAACAAATTGAACTAGCTCCTCTTAAGATAACCGGCTAGCAGAGCTTTTGACTGACAGTTTATGTGCAGCAGCAAATCAACTATCCTGATTAACAAGGTTATAAAAGCTCATAAATGAAAAATCACTTTGATGTGTGGGGGAACTTTTCCAGGCTCTCTTTAGCAGGGTGGGACTGGGAGGAGAGTGCTGTAGCCTTTTAGCTGGAAGCTAACCGGAGCCACCACCCGGTGGAACACTAGCGGCATGGAGGTAGGTGGGTTGCTTCACCGGCACGTGTCGGAGTCAGCCCGGTTATTATCAGCTGCTTAACGACACCGAGCGGACCCGCGTTCATGTTTGAAAGCAGCGCTGATTCCAGAAACATCAGCACAAAGTGCGTTCGTTGCTCTGAGCCAGCAAGATGAACAAGGGAACGGCGCCGCTAACTCAGTTCGGGTGTTGCTTTCCATCCCAAGGGTCTACGTAGGGGGCGGGCGTATTACGTGAACGGACCCATCTGATTGGCCGCATATCAGAAGGGCTACATTTGATTGGTCAAATAATACTTCCGCGTAAAAAACAGAGCTGGTTTACAAAAAGGTGATGTATGACACGGATGGAAATGTTTGAACCAAACATTTATCGCCGTTTTTGACGTGCTTTGCGATGGGCCTATCGCACGTCCTGTTATCGCGATGACGATAATTTTTCGATATATTGTGCAGCCCTAGTCACATGTATTCTGTAAATCATGTGATGATGACAACTATATAGGCCACAAAGAGAAATGTGCTTTGTGTTATTTTGTCACGTTTCCTATAAGCACACTAAAGCTACAGCTGATAACCTTTACTTATTATTACAGTCATGTCTCCATATGCATTATATTATATCCACAAGCATGTGAGGATGTGTTTCGGTTGCTAACAGGCACCAGAATTAAAATAAAAAATTAAACAAGTATGAACTCTAACGTGATATCTTCATCCGTCGTCACCTGCAAGCTACACATGTAGGGAAATCTGTTCGGCTTAAACCCCACTTTCAGCCACTCTCCCTGCTCTCGTCTGTTTTCCCGGGGAGGCGCTGCTCAACTCGAACAAGCCCACTGTGACTCAACGCGATTCACGTGACAGCCCCATCTAGTGGACAACTTTTGTTTCTGCGCATACCTGTTGTTATCGTCCATTTATCGTTATTGAGGTGAAATCCTCAATATATCGTGATATTGATTTTAGGCCAGATCGCCCAGCCCTAATGCCGACATCCACCCAGAGGGTGATGGGGAGAATAATCTCCCAACAGTTAGGAATTACACAATATACAGTTGCTGAGTTCATTTAGCCTCCAGGCTAGGAAGCTTATTCTCTAACCTGAACTGTAAACACACGCGCGCGCGCACGCACACGCGCGCACACACGTTCTGTTAGTCAACATCTGGGCTCTCAGGTGTTGGACATCTGGAACACTAAAGGCGACGTTAGGCTCACCTCTGTCGCGGCTCTGAGGAAACGGAGTTACAGCTGTGGACCGACAGCAGCGTGGGGGATTTCCGTGGTCCCAGCGGTGACGGCAGCAGGCTGGTATTGGACAGGGACGGGGAGAGTAGGTTACTGCTACCCGGAGAAGGGAACGAGCCTCGGCGACAGCCCAACAGCACCTCTGCGCTGTCAGCATCGTTGAACCCTGTGTCGGAAGGGAGGACCAAAATCGGCGGAACGGTGAGTCCAGTCCTCGGGGAAGGGAAGACATCTCCACAGCCTACCGACGCAGAGAATGGTGTCCCGTAGCCACACATGTGTCCGGGGACCGGAATGGATTCGGACGCTTCAGCCGCTGCAGCGCCGGAGCTGGCTGCATCAAAGTCGGGCTCTTTGTTGTTGTGGCTTCCTCCTTTCTCTGTTGGGTTGCTGTGCACTGGCTGGCCGTCAAGAGAGATGTTGTTCAGGAACAAAAGAGCGGCTTGTCTCCGGCGGGAGTTTTCCCGGGTCCTCCGGTTGTATTCTCTGTTACTGAGCGTCTTTTTGCCGCTAACGGAGGCTGCTACCACAGCGCTCTGCTGTCCGCAGGCAGCAGCCGCCATGGTGTCTGCCCCACTGAGGAAGTCGAGCGCGGGGATCAGCTCGAGACTTGTCAAATCCCTTTTACCCGGCGCGAGACTGTTTTACGCCCCTCTGCATTCTGATTGGTCCAAACGGGACTACGTAATGACGCGTGGTGCCAGAGCACGCTGTAAACAACACAGACTGTCAACAGGGTGGCGTCATGTTTGCTGATATGTCACTTCTGTGATTGCTGGAGCCGAAATCGAAAAGCAGATTTGATTATTTGCACATTGTGTCCCACGTGATCCAGTCAGATTTAACGCCCTTTTAAAGTGTCGTGAATTTCCAGTTGCAGTTCCATTGAGACAATAGTTTCTTTCTTCTTTATTTGCCGGTTTTTTTTCTGTACATACTTGAAGAGAAACGTAAAAGAAACCTAAGAACTTGCTGTGTTCTCACCTCTGGAGCTGCTGCACTGCAGTGGCTTTCATGAAGCAGAATACTGCAGCTCAAGTGGATTCTGATCCCTGCAGTGACACCAGCCACGAGCCTGGCTTGATACTAGCCTGTTCATAATCTGCCGAACACTGCATACTGTAATCCCTGTAGGCTCTGAGTAGATGGGCTTGTATCTGTTGATGACCTGCACTAAGTGAACTATCACTGACCTCCTGGCTAATCTGGAATAACTCGGGTAGAAAAGTTGTATAATGGAAGAGCAGTGCCACTGAGAAGAATCTTTATTTAGTCACATTAGGTTTTCTTTATTTTTGTCTGCATTATTTTACCAAATAATCTATTAAAGGCAGTCATCCATCTTGTTAACCTTTTTAAGAAGCTGGTAAAAAAGACCCGATCTAGACAATCTAGAGGCATCCTGTGTGGCCTTTGACCATTTATGGCATAGATTGTCGATGCAGAAAGACACTTTCAAATATATTCTTCAACGTTTTACTAATATCATGTGTAACACATAATACACATGAATTAAAATAATTTAAAACAGAAATGCAAATTGTTTAGTCTTTTTAATCCAGTTTTTTTTTACTTGTATTTTAATTTTGGTGAAACGAAGCAAAAACTCACTTTTACTAAACAGCAGATTTAGGAGCTCTCTAATCCCTGCAAGCATGGCAGAAGAAAGAGTGGCTCAGATTATGTTCTTGTTGCCGATAATGGACTCACATTTATTTTACAGACCAAGACACTAGAAAACAACCGGCCCCATCAGATCCAAGGATGCTTTTCTTTTAAAATCAAACAAACATCTTCATTTACAAAGATTCTGTCACGATGCGGTGTCGGCGGTGGTGGACCCATGTGCGGTGGAGCTTGACCAGGAGGCAGAGATGCAGCTAAGGTAAAATAAAACGGATTTAATGAATCATGGCAGGTAAGATGAAACAGCAGGAGCAACATAACAGGGTGAAAACACAACAATGATCCGACAGGGGCAAGTGCAGAACCGGGGGTATAAATACAACAGGATAATAGGAACACATGGGCATGATAACAAGGGGCAGATGAGTCCAATAAGCAACTAATTAGGGGTAGACGGGACCAAGAGTCAGAGAGGTCGGAGCAGAATCTGACAGTTTCTCTTCAACAGCAAACCTCCAAACTTTGTTCTTTTTAATAAAATAGTTGGACAGAACTGCACTAAACTAAACCCTAGATTAATATAATCAAAACAAAAATCCTGACCCTTGTTCATGCTGGGTCCATCTTTATGGTTCTGATTAAGATGTCTGACCTAACAAAGACCCTTAGGTTAGGTCAGTTATATACAGCACCTTGTTAATTAATGAAGCAACATGAAAACATGCTGATAAAAGTCAGATTTCTGACTAACACATCCACAAAGAGGCGTCGGTTAGAATAATGAGTGAGGTGTTGTGACTCAGGTGAAGCCCATGGGTGTTGACTCCCTCTGCTCTGATGTGCAGTGATGTCATGTTGCCACAGACGAGAGGCGGGGAGAAACGCTGACACCACGGAAAGGACAACAGGTCACTGCAGAACTGGGACTGGAATACACATATTTACCTGTTTGTTTATCTCATTATTCATTCATTAAGGCTCCATTTCTGCCTCTAGCTCATGAACAATGATGTATACAAAATAATTTTCCCTTTCCTGCCTCCTTGTGGGGACAGATATAAATTACACATCCATCAGGGAAACGCTGGTTGTAGCTGATCTCTTCAGAAAAGCTCCAAAACTAAGGGTGGACTTACTGTAATACATGTTAAACAAGTTAGTAGAAAAAATCTAATGTTTTCATTCTGATTGTTAAATTAATAAACTAAAGCCTGTTGTGCTCAGCTGAAAGCTGCATCTGTTGAATTCTGAAGCCAGAAAAATTAACATGATAAGTGTCTCTGCTGAATAAGAGGCTCCATAGTCCCAAATGTCTCAACGAGTGTTTTAGTTCTGCTTATTCGTCACTACACAAGCACAGTTCAGGTTATGTGTTGTAGTGATACAGCTGGAACGTTTAGAGGGGCTGTGGGGGTGAGGGGCGGGGCTACAAATAGTGTTTCACATCCTCAGGTCCACTGCGTTTCCTTCTTCTGCTTCATTTAAAGCATGCATGCTCATGCGTGTATGTGTGTGTGTTAATTTATCTTCATTATTACAGTGTAAATAAGAAGATGCACAAAGTGTCTGTTATTGGTTTAGAAATGTTATCCTGATCATCTGATCATTAGTTTTCCTGAAGCGCAGGCGGGACAGCCCACATGCAAACTAGACAGGGTCATTCAGGTGTTGATGACTTAACCAGAACTAAACGCTCGAACATTCAAAAGACTCATACGTCCGATGCAACGGTTAGTTAAGTAGCTTCTGTTTCAGTGATGTAGACGAACTTTTAATAAGGTTCTGATAGAGTGTTACATTTGTTCAGCCAGTCATTGTGCTCATGGATAAATCCCATCCCCTTACATCATTACTCCAGAGTCTGTATTGAGCTGAGAGAAACCTGATGAACATGCTGCAAACGCTCTGAATACAAAAGTGCTACAAAGCTGAATGTGTGAGACCCGTGAGTAGTGCCCACTGGTCTGAAGACGTCTAGGTAAATGTCCTTTTATTAGCATCCAGGCTGATTGTTTTGGTTTGCGGATTCTTTTAAGATTCACACACTGCTTCATCTTGATTTAAAATATATATCCCAGAAGGGCCAATTTAATGACTTTTACCCATCTGTCAGTTTTCAACAAGGGTTTGTGACCTCTGACCTGGCACCTCTCTATCTGGGTCCATCTGTGTCTGAGGAAATCCATCCTCACGTAGGGAAGCCTGTGCTGCTGTCTTCATCACAGGTAGTAGTCTTCCTCCTCAATGTCTCCATGTGTGTCCTGGAAGCCCAGTGCCTGGATGTCGTGGGTGATGTCGGAGATGCGTCGATTGAATTCCTGGGATCCTGTTGCTAGGGAACCGTTGTCGTATCTACTGGGATGGCAATAAATGTTTATGTGCGGAAATCATGACTTTCCTCTTGCATCATTTGTAGAAACAAACTCATAAATACATTGTTAGAGTTAACTAAACAGGCCAGTGGGAGAGAAATTCCTGTTATGCATACCCTCTCATGGCTGTGGCCAGTGTGTTACTCATGCTGCGTTTAATCCGCCCGAAGCTGTCGGTTAGAATCCCCCCCTCCCGAATCCCAATACTTTCGAGGAAAGTCTCAAATGTTCCGACATCCTTGTCTGGGATGAATGGCCTCATGCCTAAGACACAAAGGAAATCAGGATAATCAGTGGAGCCAACTAAAATTGCTGTCTGGATTTTCTTGAATGGAATTATGGGATTTATATCTGTGGCCCTAATAAATACGTTTAATCAACAAGTTTAAAGCATGTTCACTCAGGCATTACGAGAAGATTTGGATGTACTGAATTATAAAATGAAAAGGAGACTAGGCAGTTTTGGCTTGCTTTTAGCACCCCCTGGTGTCTGTTTAGTAGAACTGAAAGCAAAACCTCAATCTAACAGCTGAAATGTCTCCTACAGGAGTGATTCATCGCTAAATTAAATAAACCAGCTGTGTTCATGATCTAAATCATGCAGGAAATGTCCAGGAAGTAGACTGGAGCACCAGGTGTGTCAGCTCCATTGTCCCACCTGTTGAGTCCCAACAGAGCGTTCCGCAAGTCTGAAGTTGCAAGTGCGGTATTCTGGCCACAGGGAGTGACAGGGGCTGGGTGGCCTTTCATTAACCCTGTAAAGGATCATTTTAGCCCATACTGGCTCAAAATATGATTTAAAAATATAAAAAAGTTGCAAAGTATCCCTTTAAATGATTTCACTGTAAAGGTCAGAAAAGAGGTTTTGTGGGAAATTCTTGAAATTGGAGCTTTTTAAAGATGGCAGGGATACTCACTGGTCTGGGCTGATCTTACAGCTGCTGTCAGTTTTGAACATTTCTTGCTGTTCAGAAAGCTATCTACTGTGGATTTGATGGGAACCTTCAGGCAGAAACAGTCCAGAATTGCTTAAACAACCTTTGACCTTTCTGAGAAGTTCCAGTTAGACATTAGGATAATAGAGTGTGTGAAGGAAAACATCACACACCTCCCTACTTTCTGCTTGTCTTTCTCTCCTTCATTGCCTCGGTAGATTTATGTTTTCTCTGGATCATGTGCAACATGTGACCTATTTATGTGCAGCTCCTGGATCAGGGTGATTTTCTGTGTCATGCACGGAGAGCTCCTAACTAGAATTCCTAGCTTTCTCTGATATGAAGTAGAAAACGTGGGTTGTAATATTTTAGTCAGTCGGCTCTCATTGGTGTCGGCTCCACATCTCACCCAACAGCAGGAATTTGCGGTCGTCTCCGTACAGTTGCAGTAACTCGAAGCAGAAGTAGTCGATGTTTGATCCCAGCCTGTACTCCCTCAGCAGCACCGCAAACTGCTGCAGCTCCACCGGACTCAGCTTGTTACGCAGCTGCACACAAATACACCCAGAGAGTAATAATCGGCATTCTTCTCTTTATCAGCTGATTGGTGTAGTATTTCTGTGGAAGTGGTTGGTACTATTCCACAACACCTAACAGGATTGCTCGATAAAGGGAGAACAAGTAAATGAAAGCATCTCTGCAGAAACACACAGCAATGTGCAAAAGTCTTGAGTCAGATCTCATTTTATTCTTCTTCTACCTTGCAGGTCCTGGTGGGCGGGGCTAACCAGCCTGGTGTTTTGTCTGCAAATTAACTGGCTCAGCCACCCAACTCATAAGGAGCTGACTCTTAAAGAATAATCACTAACATTCATCCTTTTTCATGCAACTAAGCAGACACAATAGTTGCATTGCTACTTCTGATAACATGCTATTATAAAAGAGGGTTGCAGTGGTGCAGTCTCTAGGAAGGCTCTCAGCTTCTCTAGATTTTTATCTAATGTTCTAAGCCTGGAATAAAAATGAGTAACATCCCTCAAATGGAAGTTCTCACATGACACACCTGCTGGACTAAATGATGGATGGTTTGAGATCCAGAGCCAAAGGTCCCATCAGCACCAGACTGTTCTGTTCATCGAGCTTAACATCAGCTGAGGATGCTTTCCTGGAGGCACTGTTTTTCTTAGTTGTGTTTGGAGCGCTGAGATTTGCGCTACCTTGTAGAGATGGGAATCACACATTCCTGCTCGCCAATAAGAGTTTTGACTCATAAACATCTCATGCGTCCGTGTGTCTATCCATCCGTCCTTTGTCGAGGTCAGGTTTCAGAGGCAGCAGCCTCAGCAGAGAGGCCCAGAATTCCCTCTCCCCAGCCACTTGGGCCAGCTCCTCCAAGGGAATCACAAGGTGTCCCCTGGCCAGCAGAGAGACATAGTCCCTCCAGCATGTCCTGGGTCTCCCTTTAGGTCTCCTCCCAGTTGGACGTGTCCAGAAAACCTCACTAGGAGGAGTCCAGGAAGCATCCTAACCAGATGCCCGAGCCACCTCAGTTGGCTCTTCTCGATGTGGAGGAGCAGCAGATCTACTTTGAGCTCCTCCCAGATGACCAAATTCTCGCCCTATCTCTAAGGTCTTGCTTTCTTGGTCACTTCTCAAAGCTCATGACCATAGTTGAGGGGTGGAATGTAGACTGACCGGGAAATCAAGAGCTTCATCTTCAGGAACCTTAGGTCGCTTCGTCTAAGGATCAGGTTCCTCATTTAACCCTCTCAGGCTGAAAATAAGTTTTGATAAAAGGACGAACAACTAAGTCCTTCAGGGGAACTTCTGAGTTAAAAAAATGCTCATGAAATACGTATGTGGAGTAGCCAGGTAGGTAGGTTTTAACGTTGTAAATCTGCAACGCCTGCCTCCAGAGGGTTAAATCTACCGATGTCATTTAAAAATCCAGCTCAGTGCTGTGAGTCAGCTCATTGTTTAACAACTGTTGTCGTTTTTTCCTTCCAGATTTAGACCATTTCTACTATTGCTCCTTGCTGCTCAGCTGATTATACACAGTCAGATCCTTAATGTTCAGCATGCTTTTCTGAAGCAGACGTTTGATGTAGATAGTTTGAATTTGTGATGTAGATGTGAGCGCTGATAAGATGCAACTAACATACTAGTTCCACAGCGTTGGTCGTGATGTCCACACTTACTGTGATCATATACTCCTGCATCAGCTGCAGAGGGGGGTTGTTGTCTGCTCCATCACTGGTTGATGCCAGACTACGCTGGGAATCCTGCAGGGAGACAGATGAGCTCTCGCTGTATGTCTCACTGTAGTAAAGCTCAAAGGCTTCCTGGGAACCGTCACTTAGAGAGAAAGACAAAAACCTTCTGTCAGACACCAGCCGCTGTTAGATTCTCGTGAATCTGATCATTTAGCACAGCAGCCAAAACCTGGCCAGCTAAACAAAAACAAACAAACCCTGTCAAAGGGAGTGATGCATAGGTATGACCAATAGCTATTTCAGCTTTGTGAGTTTCACATGTTTTAAAATGTATCTAACCCAGACAGCAGACCTAAACATAGAATGTGTAGAGGAAAAAAATATATATGACTTTGATCAGTTCCAAATAATTAGGAATGTTGTAAAGAAATGAGATGGATCAACAAATGGAAGCATATTTAATCATGACTTTTTTTTTGTTTTATTTAAATGTTTAGGTTCAGAAAAAAGTAAACAAACAACAACAAATAAACATATAAATAAATAAATAAAGAGCCAACATCAAATTAAACCTGCAAAAAACAAAATGGAGATTTTCATGATTAAGTTGTCGATGAAACAAAGCCATGAAACACAACCTGGCCCTGTGTGAAACAGTGACTGGCCATTCAACTAGCTGGGAAATAAAATGCATGCGATGACTGGTAATCAGTTTCTCCCATCACTGTTATTTTACGTGAGCCACACATGAAAGGCCTGTTTAAAGGTGCGGTTCACTGAAAAACATTTTTAATGATTATTTTGGATTATAATGGTTTACTCTGAGTTTTTCGTGCAGGCCAAACTGTCACCTACTATGAGCTGCAGCAGCTGAACTCTGGATCAAAGTTGTAGGACCCGTCAGTCAGACAGCTATCACCTGCATTGTAGCATCAAAAATATAAGTTTAGTTCAGAAAGCTTCCTGGAGATAAAACCTCTACATTGCAGAACAAACAGAGTCAGTAGTAGAGTTGAGTTAGCCAATCAGAGGTGAGATGTCAGAATATCAGGAAATAATAAGGCTGCTGCTCACCTCTGCTCTGGCTAAAATTCTTCATGAAACCGGGGTGACAGAGCTTTTTTCCACTTAGATTAACTTAATTGAGGTATTAATTTATTCTAGAGACTGAAAATGCTTTTAAAAAATGAGTGAACTTGGTCTTTAAGCCCAGAAGGGGTTTGATGTGACAGTCAAGTGGTCATAGGTTGTTAGGGTCAGTTTGTCCGTATCAAACCACATGATCAGTGTCTACGGAAGTACAGTAGACCACAGAGGCAAACAGTACTTTGTGACACTCACTCCTTTGCAGCCAGGAGTGATCTGGCATGGTGTGATGAAATCCTGCCCTGTCGACACACTCAATCGTCTGATGCCCGTAAATGATCTGGAACATCTGGCAAATTAGAGAACAGTACTCCTCTGCAGCATCCTACACACACACACACACACACACACACACACACACACAAAAAGGGAGACAGATTGATGTCAGGTGGAATTAGATCACACATCAGTCTTTTCTCATCCACGGTGCTCCGATCTAACTGGATAATTAAATTGGTGTGATGTGTGAATGGCTGTCTCGCTTGTTGGTCTGGCCCAGTAATAAACTTGTGACCTATTTGAGACAGACCCCTCCTCCCCACAGATACCCCCCGCCGCACTTGGATGGGTCTCTGACTTTGACCCACCCGGTTCTCAACAGCCAGGATGACCAGGTTGCAGTAGGCATCAGGACAGGGTGTGGGCTCCAGTGGGTTGTAGTTCCTTCTCTCCCAGCTGCCATAACTTTTGCCTCGTTCCCAGCTTCCTGTGCAAGCTTGTCTCCGGTCCCAGCTCCCTCCACTACCTGCAGCACCTCCTCCTCTCCTCTCCCAGCTCCCCCCTCCTCCACCACCTCCTACTCCACCTCCATGCCGCCTTTCCCAGCTCCCTCCTCCACTCCCTCCAGGTCCCACTCCCCAGTTGACACTCATGGGCCGTGCTCTGCGGTTCTCCCAGCTTCCCCCTGTTCTACGAGTTTGTTGCTTTCTCTCCCAGCTCCCCCCCACTCTCTTTCTCTCTAAACTCCCTCCTCCTCCTCTTTCTCTTTCTCCTCCTCTCTCAACGTTTTGGTTCTTGTCATGGTTGCTTCTGGACAGTGATGGTCTCCAGTCCACCCCACAGATGGTGTGTCTGCGCTCCATTGTGCCACCTGCAGGTCGTGGGTTAGCATTGCAGCTGGACGTTTGACAACGCCCGTTGTTGCCTGGTGGCTTCTTCCTGTCCAGGCTGTCATCTTCAGCCACCACAGAGTCCACGTTTAGACCTGCGGGATTCAGATAAGAAACCCAACCTGAAATAGAAACTCCAACCTAATGATGCTGTTGGGAGAGAAAAACGAAATAAAGGTTCATGCATTAATCAAGTTATCCTCACATCTGTCACAAACTTGTTACCAGAGTTATTTATTTATTTTATGCTTAAGAAAATACTTTTCATTTCCTGAGAACTTCAGCTCTTGGATATAAATCAGTGATGATGTCACGGTGACTTTAAAATTGTGGTGTGTGTCTGGGGAGAAGTATCAGAGAAAAAGTGTCTCATCCTATCAATTTGTGTCTTCAGGCATCTTTTGAAGAGCAGCAAATGTTCAATGGTCCCATCTCTGTTCTCCCTGACTTGCCCCGGGTGAGCCCCTACCTGTCTTGAGGACCAGCAGGTGTAATGCATCATCTCTCAGGTAGGAGGCGGCAGCAATCTCATGCGTGGGGATTCTCATCAGCAGCTTCTCATTGTTCCTCCATGTCAGCAGCAGACAGCGAGCAGACAGACTCAGAATACAGTCTTGATCTACACTCGTCTTCAGAGGGAGCACCTTTAGCTGCTAATGATGACCAGTGAGAGAGGGACTGGTCAGTACATCACACACACACACACACACACACACACACACACACACACACACACACACACACACACACACACACACACACACACACACACACACACACACACACACACACACACACACACACACACACCATGTGTTTACCAGAGTCTAGTTACTAAATCAGTTAAAAGTTCTCATTCTGCAACATGTTCTAGTATTTTGTGCAGTAAGCGTGTTTATTGTAAAACTGTTTGTGTTTGCCTCTTTGATGATCGTGTACATGTGATAAAAATCCCAGTTTTTCAAAAAAGATCTATGGTTTTGATGTTTTGATTCAAATGTAATAATTTGTCATAGGTTACTAACGTCCTCCAGTTGCCTCACGTTTTTGAGCTGTGGGAGAAATCCCACACAGGTAACATTCAGAGACTCCTGGCTGTCAACAGCTTATATTATATTATGTTTTCCATTTTCATTTTATATTCCACCGCCCAGCCAAAACAAAGTCACCACCAAAGAAGGTCACACACTAGTACTTTGTTAGACCGCCTTTAGCTTTGATTACAGCACACATTCGCTGTGGCGTTGTTTCCATAAGTTCTGCAACTTCACCAAATGTATTTCCATCCAGTGTTGCATTGATGTGTCACCAAGATCTTGCATTGATGATGGCAGAGTCTGACTGCTGCACAAAGCCTTCTCCAGCACATCCCGAAGATCCTCTCTGGAGTTAAGGTCTGGACTCTGTGGCGGCCATTCCATGTGTGAAAATTATGTATCATGCTTCCTGAACCACTCTTTCACTATCTGAGCCAGATGAGTCCTGGCATTGTCATCTTGGAAAGTGCTCGTGTCACCAGAGAAGATGGAATAACCTGGTCATTCAGGATATCCAGGTTGTCAACTGACCTCATTCTTGGAGCACATCCTGTTGCTGAACCTAGACCTGACCACCTGCAGCAAGCCCAGATCATAGCACTGCCCCCACAGGCTTAGACAGTAGGCACAAGGCCTGATTGGTGCATTACTTCAACTGCCTCTCTTCTTACCCTGATGCACCGTCACTCTGTAACAGGGTCCATCTGGACTTATCAGAGCACATGACCTTCCTTCATTACTGCAGAGTCCAACTTTTATGCTCCCTAGCAAACTGAAGCAATTTTTTCTGGTTTGCCTCATTGATTAGAGGTTTTGGCACGGTTATACAGCTGTTCAGTCCCAATCCCTTGAGTTCCCTCCATGGAAATGCTCCTACTTTCATTATTAAACATAGCTGAGTTCTACTGTTATTTTTCTTCAATTGCTTTCACCAAACATTTAAGCGATCATGCGCCGATCACTATCACTCAGGATTTTTTTTCCAACCACATTTCTCCCCAAACACAATAACCCAGTTTTAGTCTTTTCTACAATCTCCTTAGTCCTTTTCTCTGCTTGATGCATGCTAATGATCTGCCCCTTCTTAACCCTCCCACTGTCTTTATGGGTGACCCCTCGAGGAAAGTTGACCATTGAGCAGGATTGATGGCTTATCCCTTGAGGTCCACGTGACAGGGGTGAGGTGGTGCTCACTCCCCACCCCTGCTACGTGGACCCAAGAGATAAACCATCAACCCTGCTCAATGGTCCACTTTCCTTGCGGGGTCACACCCATTAGGACAGTGGGAGGGTTAAACAGACTAACATCTTTTCCATGACCACCAGCTGTGTCTTCCCACATGGTTGTTTAAGAAATGAGAAGCAACTCATTGCATTGATGGGGGTTAAATTACTTGTTACCAGCTGAAATTGCTCATGCAGTAATTATCCAATAGGAGGCTCCCACCTGCTTGCTCAGTTAAATCCAGGTGGCAACTTTTTGGGGGGCCAGGAAGTGTTTATTACACTGAATAATTATGAGTCATATTGTGTAGACGTGGTAGTATCTGGTAAAGTAGCTTAATTTGTTTTAGGAGTAAAGGTCATCTGATCCATATACATTTACATTTAAACCCATTAAAACGTTTGTTTGCCCAAAGTGCTACTGTCAGCCTTTATCAGCTGCTCCTGCCACAATGATAACTTAAGCTAAACCCAGCTAGAAATACATCAACTAAATAAAGAACATTCAATTTAAACCCAGAATACACTGTGAAGCTATCAGTTTAACCAGAATCAGACTGAATGGCAGTGTATGGTGATTATTTAATCTGCTTATATTTAACAACATAAAAATGGGCTGGGGAATCTCTTTAAACACAGTTTGGTCTTAAATTGTTCCCTCTCGAATCAAATGAAAGAGGATGGATGACACCATTACTGAATATTAGAATGGGTTGTTAGGGATGGGTACCAAATTCGGTACTTTTTAAGGTACCGACTGAATTCCATAGTACCGACTGAGCACCGATTCACGTCATTTGAAACGGTGCCTCGTTTCGGTACCCGTCCTTCATAATGAGAACTTGCCTAGACAGCTGAGCATGCGCAAGAGCGTTATGTAGTCGGTCGCTGCGAGCCAGTTGTAAACAGAGCAGCACGGTAGAAAGAACGCACGCTAAAGCTTGGGTCCACTTCACTAAATGTGATGGGTAACTGGGTGATGATGAAATCAGCGACAACGATCTAAGTGAGACATCCTCATCTTAATCTGCTCCGGTAGGTAAATAAAATGTTTACGATAACGTTAGCTCGATATGTTAGCTTCCGTTCTGCTAATGGTGCTTTCGCTTTCTCCTCGGAACTCCGAATTTCCGACTAGAAGAACATGAACGCGCTCTAAAGTTTGGCTTCACTTTACTAAATGCGACGGGTGATTGGGTGAAGATGAAACCAGCGACAACAATCTAAGTGTGAGGCATCATCGTTTTAATCTGCTCCAGCAGTTAAATAAACTGCTAAAGATAAAGTTAGCTTGATATGTTAGCTTCCATTGCCACCGTTGTTATCAGCTAATGGTGCGTTCGCTTTCTCCTTGGAAATTCTAACTTCCCAGTAGGAAAAATCAAATGAAAAAGGACGGCAAAAGGAATGAAGATACACAGTAAATTTAGTTCACAGTAAAGATGTTTGCTTCAGTTTAATTATCAGCTTATAAAACTACAAGGACGATGTTAAAATGCAAACAGTTGTATGTTATTTATCGTGATGTTTATCAAATATGGTTATATATTGAGAAAAATATATATGTAATTATAAAAGAGAATTAAAATATTAAACACTCGAAAGTATCGAAAATTGGTACCGTTAAGTACCGGTATCGATTCCTAGGTACCGGGAATTAGTACCGAATCTATTCAAATGTCAAAGGTACCCATCCCTAGTAGTAGTTGATATGATTCATAAGGACTGATGCAAACCCTTGCTGTATCCAGTAGCTGTAGAAGTTCATCTCTGCTAGAAGGATTCAGTGAAACAGATACCCATGTCAGCTGACCAAGAAGCTAGAAAGAGAGGTCATAGGTCATTTAGCCATGAAGTAATAGCATCAGAGTACTGTTTCAGGTGCTGCAATGGTACCGGTTCTTACCTTCACCTCCTTCTCCACATAGTCAAAGATGAGCCTCTCTGGGTGAATGAGGTAATCGGGGGGGTAAAGGGGGACGGTGTGCAGGGGCCGGCGGTAGACGGCGCCTCGATCTACAGACCTACGGCCAGATTTGGACCACACCAGACGCTTGATTGGTGAGACAAAACCCTGGGGCAATAATTACAGCAATGTTTCTCAATAAACAGAAGTCCAACTGGGGCCAAAATAAAGAGAGCATAGTTAACACCCAACAAGTCCTTCCAGGCTTTAGAGCCTCAAGGTTCTCACGAAGTGATTACTGGAGAAAATACATTCAAGAGACGTTTACATCTCCTTTACACCTTAGGGGATGTAAATGATTTACCTACACACTTATATGGCGGTAAAGGCAACGTGTTACCGATGTTTTTTTTTGCTGGTTAGAATATAAAGTAGAGCTTTCTGCGTGTCATCTGCTCTCAAGGCGGTGCTCCACAGCTAGTGAACAAAACGAATGAAAGAGCAAGAGGGCCGGAGCGCTCGGGTGGAAAAGGTTTAGTAGGTGTGAGTTAAATAAACTAACGTTTGGACAGTGTATGTGTCTTCGTTTGTGCTTGTTATTTGTAGTCTGGCGTACTGGAGGGTATCCATGGAAGCTTTGGCTTTAACAGCAGGAGTAAATCGGTTTCCAGCTGGATGTTACAATTCAAGTTTCCTTGGACAAGATGAACATGATGCAGACAAAAAAAAGCTACTTTACCTTTTTGGGTTTCTTTGGTTCGTAGTCCATCACCACTGATGGTCCTGCATTGAGTCAGATCATCCAAAATTCGGTCAGTTTCTGTTCCAAGTCGTGTTCAAAAGCTGTTCGTCTTCTATAGTTTAGCTCGCTGTTTGTCTACGTGTCCTCTTCTCGCTATTTGAGGCTTTTAGCTTTAGCACTTTATGTTTGTTCTCCTGCTACACTGATTGTTCTTTTGGGAAGACCCCACCACACACACACACACACACACACACACACACACACACACACACACACACACACACACACACACACACACAGTGTGAGGAAAGGACAGGAAACAGGAAGCCCACTTCCGGTCCAAAAGGAAACTCCACCTGAGACTGATAACATCCATTTTCTCTGGTCTGATCACACACACACACACACACACACACACACACACACACACACACACACACACACACACACACACACACACACACACACACACACACACACACACACACACACACACACACACACACACACACACACACACACACACACACACACACACACACACACACACACACACACACACATTTTGATTGGTGGATGAACTCCATTTTCCAGCTTTGATCTCAACCAAACAATTGTGTTTTTGGTAGATTACTAGTGGTGTTTAAACAAGATGGCATCTTTATAAAACAGCTGTGCTCTTTTAAGAGTTAAAAAATATATATGTCACAAAATTACCTGCAACAGGGTGTATGATAGTAATTTGCTTAAACATAAAATAATTTGTAGTTAAAGGCAGTCCATTTTTACCACAACAATCAACCTAGTCCCATCAAATTCTACATGTTGACTCTAGTTTAAAAAGAAGACACCCAAGAAGGTCCAGCACCACCAGGGCCATCTCTTACTGTAAAGTTGGTCCAGGTGTAGAGTCAGGCCTCCAATCGCAAAGGTGACAGCATCTGCAGCTCATTGTTGGAAAAGAACGTTGGAGGATAGCCTGGAGTCACGAAGCGCAGCAAAGAAGCCATTTTTCTCCAGAAACCATCAGAGAAAAACTGGTGTTCTGCTAAATATCCAAGGATTGAACTGCTGAGGATTGGGGGAAGGTCATCTTCTCTGATGGATGGAAAATAGATGATTGGAGCATCTAAAGAAAGGATTGTCTGGAAAAGAGCAAGTAGGTGTTCTCATCAGTCCCATCCATGTGTGTGTGTGTGTGTGTGTGTGTGTGTGTGTGTGTGTATGTCTGAAATTACACCAAACCAAGTGTCCTGTATCATAGCAACATGGATAAAGTTTGCAGGAAAAAGGAAGTTGTTTCTGGGACTTGGCCCAAATGCAGAGTTAAACTGCAGGAGTTAAGTGGTGCTGGAGATGAGGTGAACAAACGAGTGGGGAGCCAGAGTGGTGTCTCATTAGGATGAATGACTCAGAGCTATGGGCAGGTGTGGAGAGGGAACTGAAGTAACTTGAAGGTGTTTCAAGGTGCGCAGGCAGGAACATTCAAAAAGGCTTTAATGAAGAGCACACGGGAAACTGAAACAATGAACAGACGACAAACACAGAACTGGGCGGGTTTAAGTACAGGAGGAACTGGGACCTTAGGTGATTGGCAGAGGTGTGGACTCGAGTCACATGACTGGGACTCGAGTAGAGTCATTATTTTAATGACTTCTGACTTGACTTGATACAATCTATAAAGACGCGACTTGAATCGAGTTGCATCTGTTGACTAGATGATGACTTGAGCATATTTGATATTTTAGCACAAAAGTTGCACAACATGGAAAAAAATCAAAACTACTCTTCGTTCTGGGTTTGATTTACCGCTAACTGCAGCGGCCCTTTGTTTAGAGTCAGTTTCAGGTGCACTTTCTGCTTGTTTGAGCAAGTAAATTAAAGTTTAAGAAGCTTTATTTCTGGAGTTTATTTATTACCATTGTCAATAAATTGAAGTTGGACAGATGACTTGATTATGACTTGAAAATTCAAAGTTAAGGACTTGGACTTGACTTGGACTTCCATATTATTGACTTTGGACTCGACTTGGACTTGATTGTCTCTGACAATTGTGTGTGTGTGTGTGTGCGTGCGTGCGTGCGTGCGTGCGTGTGTGTGTGTGTGTGTGTGTGTGTGTGTGTGTGTGTGTGTGTGTGGTGAAGCCCTGGCTAGCCTAGCATGCTTGCTAGCCTCTATCAGCTTACCTAGCTTGATTTCTGGTACACAGACCACCTCATAAACATGTTATATTTCAACCCATCTTTGACCAAGCAGTGCTATTTTTAATGCGGAGCATTCCCCCATTCAACCAGCAAAATAAAGTACAGATAATAATTATAATAGTTATAATTTTACTTACTGATAAAAATGAGGCAGAAATTTCTCGGATGCTCTCTGAAGGCAATCAATACCATAGCTTGCCCTCTTTGTCCAAAAAAATTCCACGAGTAGCATCCAAACACACAAAGGACACAACTACATTTCAGAGAGTCAAAATGGCCAAACATCAATTAATGTGAGGCCCAGGCTGAGGCCTTCTCCGGAGCTAGCCAATAGCGAAAGCTCTGGCGTGGTTCTGGTGCCCATGCTACTGGTCAATCAATTCAAAATATTCATAATTTCAAGCATTTAATTACATTTAAACTGAACCCCCCAAGAGTTGACATGACTGTACCTAAAAAAATTTTTTTAACCAGACTGTGTTTACTTCTGCCGTGAAATTGTCATTTTTAACATGGGAGTCAATGAGGATTTGCTTTGTTTTGGATCCAGCCTGTAGCGGACGAGGGGAGAGCTGCAATTTCTAAACTTCCATGTTGGGTTCAGTTCTGAATGTCTGGGGTTCGCTCTTAACAAAAACCTTCAAAATTGACAGAAAATGTTAAAAAGTTTCCCAGAATACTAGTAAATAGTAAATAAATAAATGAATAGTAAATTGAAATGAGAAATACACGCATCAAAGAAGACAATCACATCCACAGCATTTATTCTGATGGCTGATGGCCATGTTTACTACATTATTTTTCCCATCTACAGAGATCAGCACGGTTTGTTGAGTTTTTTTTTAACACTGTCATAGATATTTTCACCACTGGTTTATTTTTCTGCTTGTTCACTTAGAGGATCTTTAAGCAGCATTAAAAAACAAAAGTTAGAGCACAACCTTACAGAACATACACACACTACATACTTACATACCAAAGCACACACACATACACGCACATCCTAGAATAGCATCACTCTGATATATACAGAAATATAGAATGAGTAAAAAAAAAGAACTATTTTCAGTTTTTACATCTTAATATAAGAATCATACCAAAAACATGGTCACCAAGTGAATAAACAATAAATAAATAGATATAAAACAAATACAAAAATAAACATAAATACTTGCATTGTCCCTTAAAAGATGCAACTCATGGTTTAGTTTTAGTTGATGTATAATCAGCGCTTCACAATCGGTTTCATTGTTGCTTACTGACAAAGAATGTTTTCACAACCTAATAAGAGAAAAGAAAATGTCCCTTGGCCCACGACTGGGTGGTGTGTGTATGTATCAGCTGTACATTAGCCTATTACACATACATTGAGGAATTGTTTTCAGCACCATTAACGTATCTGATGTCACCACTGGACGCGCTGGTTCAGAAAGGACACAATACTGTCTGTATTTTACATCTGTTCAGCACCAGCTGTCTCCAGTTATCTACATCCCAGGGCTCGCATGTCACGCATGGATGTCATGTTAAAAACACAGAACAGCACCAACGGATGATCAGGAGCACGCTCCACTTAAAAATGGATGCTGTCTAAGTATTTTCAGCCAGATTCCGTCCCCTAAAACCCAAGCTACATGCAAAGTAAACAAGCTAGATCCACCCTGGCTGTTCTAGGTGACACGAGACAGCAGCTTTCATCTCTAATGAGTCACCTCGACAACTCCCAACGTTTGGATTCATCTGTGGTGCGGAAGTGATGACACCACAGCTTTATTGGCACTAAATAGCAGCAGAAACAACAACAACAAAATGATACCTCAAAAGTCAATCTCGAAATCTGTTCCGGTCTTTTGGGTTTGCTATAGGAGGAACTGACACGCTGAATGAGAAGTGATGGTTGTATGTCATTGTGCAGTTCTCATGTCAAACAGACCTGATTTAGGGACACTGTCACGTCTGCCTGTGCTGAGACACAGCAGAAAGTCTTGATTTTAAGATGTTTAAGTTAAACTAGTGTGACTCTTCCCTCCATTTCAGCTCCATTTGGATACAAAGATTTCATATGAAAGACATGCTGCTGTGCATGTTGTACAGCAGCATGTTGGCGCACATCAGCATGAAACAGGGCACAAGGGGATCCATGTTTCTAACCATTGCTTTTACAAATGACCAGTTTTCCAGAGATTAAATATTTATATACCAGTAAAAGAAAAATGGAAACAAAGCACTGAAAATGACAAGCAAGTTGGAACTGTGTCTTCCTGTCCTTGTTCACTGGTTCACTTCAATCCACTCATCACCTGACCAAAGTGCATGTGTAAAACAATGGGATTCAATAGAATCTTACAAGGCAAACGATGGAGTACAAATGGAAAATACAAAAACAACAGATTGTTGCTCCTGATGTTCCTGACAGCCGACTGTCGACTTGGTGTTGACAGGGTGGCGTCCTGAACACCAATAACAAAATAAGCTTCAGCAGCTGGCAGCTGGTGTTTTATAGTCAGTGAAGGAAAAATACCCAGAGGCATTCCAGAAAAGTTTTCAAATCCAACCACAGACTGTAAATGAGGAATGAGTATACATGTAGCTACTGTAGCATTGCTCACTGGCTGGTGGGTTGCTATTTAAAACCTTGAATTTGGCACAAGACCATCTACTCATCACCTTTTCTTTGAAGCTTAAATGGACACATCTGGATTAGAGGTAGCCCTGCAGTGGTACGTAAATCATCCATCTCTTGTTCATACACTGAAAAGTGGAGGGAAACTGGAGAAAACCCAGCCATACCTGGGGGAACACACCAATTCCACGCTTACAGGTACCAGCCAGAATCACCTCGCTGGTTTCTTTAGGGTCTTTAATTTCTCCAAATAATTTTAGAAATGTTGATCTGATCATGGGAAGCCAGAAACATACGTGCTCATACTCTCCACGTCCTATCACTTGTCACATGAATTTCACCATCTCCTCCACTCCCTGGGCTGGCCACTGGGTGCAGAGCAGATTTATGAATGTGGTTGCTATGGCACCCGTCTCTTTCATCTGCAGTGATGGTGCCAAAGACGCAACTGAACTTGAGTCAAACTCGGAGTAGAAAGAGAGAGACCGTACGACCTTGTGTTAGGAAGAATGACTGTAACAGGGACTAAAAGTGTCCGGAGCACATGCGGCATACAGGAGTGTTGAATCATGGAGATATTCCTGTACTGTTTCTTACAAATGCAACATTTACCCTCTACTAGTAATAAGTCTGTGTTTTATCCACGGGTTTTGGCATTTACAATAAAAAACTCTTCTTGTCCCCAACATTTAGCTTACAGAAGCACAGAAGCGTTGCATCATGAGCCCAAAAAGGAACCGTAGAGTCATACTGCAACACATAATGACCATTTGTGTGTTCTTCAACAAACAGGAGCTGATATCAAATCTACTGAGTGAGACCTCTTATGAACATTTGGATCATTTATCCCACACGGACATAAAACCTGTCAGCTACCTAGTGAGAACTATTATCATTTTTTTAGTGGAATGTTCACAAATCAGCAAAGCTTCATGCAAACGGTAGTTAGGTGTGGAAAGTATGCACGAGTATGTTTCCCCGTCAGACTCAAAGTCGATAGGATTGGTTAGTGATCTGTTTGATGTGTTGTTTAAAATAATCTACTGGGGTGAGGCTTGTTTTGAAACCAGCCCCTAGGGGCCACCAGTCTTATTGCACTTTAAGGCACTTCCTTCATGGCATCATAACTTGATGATTCAGTAGCTACGTCCACCTTTAACAGGCACTATTATTACTCTGACTGCCAGGAGGACACACCATTCAAACACCTCCAGAATCTTCGGGATAGTATTTAGACTATTGCAACTACTGTAGCTAGTTAGTGAAAATACTGTCGTCTTTGACGGTTTAGAACAGGGGTTCTCAATCCTGGTCCTAGACCACCGCTACCCAGCATGTTTTAGTTGTTTCTCTGCTCCAGCACTTGATTTAATGGTTGTATCAACTGTTCAGGAGCTCATCAGGCTCTGCGGAAGCCTGTTAACCCCCTGCTAACTGAAATCAGGTGTGATGAAGCAGGGAAACAACTTAAACATGCTGGATACCGGCCGTCCTGGACCAGGACTGAGAACCCTGGGTTTAGAGCTTAGAGATGTTTTGCTTTTTTTTAATTCTGCCCCCTCAAAATTAAACCCTGACAAAATTTTTCACAGAAGAATGAAGATGCTTACCATGTCCTTCATATTCTACATATTATGAATCAACTTTGGATGACGTTTAGACTCTTATGAGTGAATGAAGCTCTGCCACTCAAAAGGCATTCATCACCCCTAACTACGACTTATTATAACAGCGTATACAGTATCTGACATCTGTATTTATTCATTCGACTGTACATCACAGGCCTGTTAGTGGTGACTTATAGCATGCCATAGGGTGGTAGTCACTGCAGAAGTTGCGCACTTGCATCCTTACGTTGTTTTACCCTCTCAGGCTCGAAATAAGTTTTGACAAAAGGACGAACAACTAAGTCCTTCAGGGGTACTTCCGGGTTAAAAAATGCTCATTAAAAATATGTATGTGGAGTAACCAGGTAGGTAGGTTTTAACGTAGCAAATCTACAACGCCTGCCTCCAGAGGGTTAACGGAGTTTTCGGCTGGGGTGGCCATACAGCTGGGATGTAAACAGTGACACTTGTGCTATGGCTGCTATGGGTGGGTGACTGGCATCTCTCGTGTCGCAGGCCCATGTTTCATGAACCAGCTGGACCAACGCTAAGTTGTGATCCTTTACCCTACAACACTTGGAGCTGAGCATACAGAACTACATTTCACTTTGGACACCACTCACGGAGCATAAACACATTTGTTGTGAGGGACATGCAACCTTTAGGGACATGATGGGATGGAAAGAAGATCATGTTTATGTCCCTTTGCTAACACTTCTGTATTCTTCAGATTCTGTGATTTTCTCTGAATATAATTCATGCCAGTTTGACTAAATGTTCATTTGGAAAAAAAAAGTTTGATTTAAAATCAGAGTTGCTACGGATCCCTCGACAAGGTGCCGAGGCATCTGTAGCATATCTTAGCGAAGGAGTGCTTGTTTCCTTCTTTTATGGTTATTGGAAGATCAGTTTAGAACAGGATACTGATTTTTAAACCAAATTATGATGGTTGCATGTCCCATACACCCTTCAGCAACCAGGTTCTTCAGCGTTTCTCAAGTCTTTGTTGTTCTCTGAGGTGTCAGGGCTCGAGTTCATGTCACAGTCACGTTCTCCTCTCCTTTTGTCCTTTGACTTGTTCTGCTGGCCCTCCAGGAGGAAACAAAACCAAACACTCATTGGTCCCAGGTGTAAGATTAAGTTTCTCACACATAAACTCTTAGAAAATAAACATTTTCCTTGTTCAGATGTACTTTACTATCTCCTCTTGGCTCATTCGTGCTACTTGTTTCCCGACAGCTTCGGTCCCGGATTGCACTTCACATTTTACAATCACATTTGACAACTTCTTTTCTGAAAGAGTCGCCCGATACTGTTTTTGTTTCAGGTCACTCTCACCAGAGGTAGTCCATGGGTGAGCACTAATCCTGGGCTAAAACTTGGTCCCAGACTGCGGTTTGAGGTTTAAGAGCTCCTGCTGACTCAAACAGTTGTCTCATATTCTAAAACCTCTTTGCTGCCCATCAAGCTACTCCTATATTGTATCCGAGGGCTGACGGCTGATGTCGTTTCCAGAAGCAGGATGGTCTTGCGAAGGCGTCGATCAATAAAATGTGCATCCCAGGCTGGGTACCTTTTTCTTGGGAGGTCAATCCTGATTACAGGACCTTCCTGTGTGCGAGATGAGGAGGAGGTCCTGTGAAGGAGAGCAGGGGAGGAGGAAGGGGAGGGACGTACTTGAAAAACAGGCAGGCAGCTGTCCCTGTCTCTTTCCCTGTCCCGTTCCCCAGGAGCTGGCTCTCCTGTGTCTTTAGTCCTGGGAAGAGTCCTCGGAGGACTGGTAATGACCATATCTGTTTGAGACCCTTGGGATGGTGTCAGACAAGCGTCAATCACTCCTACCACCCCTCCTGTACCCACCAGACCCTCATCTACACATCCTCCCCACTGCGATCCTAGAACAGGCCCATCTGGGTGAAGCCAGCAGTAGTAAACTAGCATGAAGAAGGTCCCCAGGGCAAAGCTGCAAGCCACCAGACAGACCACAAGCAGGGCGGTGGAGTCACTGGTTTGTGGCCCACGGTAGGTGTACCAGGCAGCAATCAGTGCCACATTCTCAGCCAGTGTCACGGAGTAGTAGAACGTCATGCGGAAGCGGCTTGGCCCCTCCTTGACATTAAACCAGCAGAAGATGTAGATGATGCCCACGACCATGTTGTAAATAATCTCCTCCCACTTGGACATGCAGAAGTCCGTTTCACCCTGGATAATCCAGAAGGTCATAACACACCTAAACAAATGAAATAAACAAAGTGTTTATTTATCAGTAAAGAAAGGCACAGAATAATTACTTTAATCCTGGCTAGTTGAACAGAGATAAGGCTTCCGACTCATGAGTGATTCTTTCTAAAACAGAAGCAGTGCTAATATGAAGAAGACGGCTTCAAGATAATCATAGAAATGATGGACATGAATCCTAAGCAGATGAAACGTTTTACTTCATTTACTTTTTTTATTTGTGTAAAATAATCGTAGGAAACCATTAAAGGGGGTTAAGATGAGACCTTTTTTCATGGGTGAGAAGACTCAAAACACAGTTCCTAACAAGACCTGTTATTATGCAACAGTACAACTTAAAAAGATGTCATTTAGACCTTTTTGACCTAGACTGATATTTTAGTAACCTTAGTAACAAAAGATTTTCTCAATTCCAAATCAAAGTTTTTGGGTAAATGTTTTAGATATTTTATTGCCATTAGGGTCATTATTGGAGCATTCAAGAGCCAGCACAAAAAATACAACATGAAGATAAAACAACGACCCCACAGCATTTGGAATTAGTTTAGCAAACATGTAGTCTCTATTGGTGGGATAGGCGTGGCTTCACTTTTGAGTGCACAGAACCACTGAAGAACCCTTCAATAATTCTTCCTGTGAGTTACGGCTCTGTCTCTAAATTTCTTCCAGTAGGACTTGCCTGGATGTCCTCCAGAGGGAGCTACTCAGGAACTATCAGTTGTCTGAACCACCTCAGCTGATTTCATCCATGCTCTGAGCTACAACCTGATGTCAGAGCTCCTCACATTATCTCCAAGCCTGTCAACCTCGCAGAAGAAGATGACTTCAGTGGCTTGTATTTAGTGTCCTGTTTTTAGATCACAATCCAATCCTCCTGACCATCGATCAATGATAAATGACCACACTTGTCCAGCACGTCTCAGAGTCAGAAGACTCCAAAGCACTTTACACTACAGTGTATTACTCATCCATTTACACACACATTCACACATTAGTGGTGATGAGCTACATTGTGGCCACAGCTGCCCTGGGGCACACTGACAGACCTAAACTGTGATAGTAAAAAAAATGAAAGGTTCACATTGAAAAGCCGTTCAAAATACTCGGTACATTCATAAACATCTCATCCCTTCTGTAGCCTCCACCATGTCGAACAAAAGCTGATAAGAACTCCTGCTTATACGGCATCAGTAAAGCAGCTCTTTCTAGACTTCAGCTGGTCCAGAATTCAGCAGCTAGGTTGCTGACTGGAGCTGACAGAAGACAACACATTTCTCCAATTCTGAAATCTCTCCACTGGTTGCCCGTGCAGTTCAGGATAAACTTCAAAATTATGCTTCTCACTTACAAATCCTTGAACCATCAAGCTCCTCCATATCTGTGTGAACTTGTCCATTACTACAACCCGCCGCGTGCTCTCAGGTCTGAAGATAAGCTCCTCCTAGCTGTTCCGAATGCACGTTTAAAAAGCCGTGGAGAAAGGGCTTTCTCTGTCTGTGCACCGAAGCTGTGGAACGCATTACCACTGCTAGTGAGGCTAACACCAACAGCTAGCATTTTTAAATCACGCCTGAAAACTCACTACTTCAACCTAGCTTATACAACATAATTATGAACCTCACTGACATCTGCACTGTTTATAAATGGACTCCACAATTATCGACTTCCGTATTATTGAAGTTCTTTGTAAAATGTGTTTTCCTATTTTTATTTCACCCTGTGTCTTATTGATTTTTAGCTGTTAGCTTTTGGTAATTTTGTTGTATTTCCTTTTTATCTTTTATCTGTGTTCGACATGTTTATATAACGCCTGTTTAATTAACCAACATTTTTAGTGTACAGCGCCTTGTTTGGTTGTAATGCCTTGTGAATGCGCTTTATAAATAAAATTGGATTGGATTGGATCAAAAGCTGATAAGAAGGAAACAGTTCATGCACTACCCACCAGTGGCTGACAATGAATATGCCAAAGTAGAGCTGGAAGACAGAGGCGAAGAGGGCGAAGGCCACGGTCCTAGCCCCGATAGTAAAGAAGTGCCACAGCATCTGGGCAATTACAGCTTTGTAGGACATGGGCAGCTTGTCATCTCGAGAGTCCCGGAGAACCTTCTGGTAGGAGGCGATCATCCAAGCCAGTGAAACCAAAGAGGCTGAAGCTGAGAGACCTGGTAGGAGACACAAGAAAGCTAGAAGACCAAGGCAATGTACAAAACAACACTATGGTGATGGAGATGACGCTAGCCCATGTCAGTAAAAGGGTCTAAATGTCATCTGATTATCAGTCCAGACCTTTGAACTTTGATGGTAAAATGAACAAATAATTTGAAACTAAAAGTTTAGCACAGCAATTAAAGATTATCAGCTGTAGGTCAAGGACTTGTTCATGACTTGTCTTTTGAAAGGTCCTGTAAAAAAGGGCGGTACTTTATTCTGAAATGTCTTTAAGCACTGAATGGTAAAGGAACATGAAGACTGTACATCCATCAAACATCCAAATATACAGAGTAGGTGGCATTAACAGTAAACAACTTCCTACAAGGTGTCAACATGGCTAGAACGAATTAAAACAGATCACAACCCCTTCAGTCATTGCTTTCATTTCAAGCACATCCTCTTAGAAAGTTTCTAACTCCTAAGGTAGTTTACTACTCAGACTAACTGGGACCGGTGCAGCTCAGCCCGACAGTTTCCAAGAGCGTGGTTCAGTATGTCATCTCTACCGTTTCCCAATTTTTAGTCCCTGCTCCATTGAGGTTTTTGGTAAGACTGAGTCGGGCCAGCATTACAACTGTGAACGCTGATTGTCTAGGGGGCGGAGTCAATGGTTGCTCTGGAGTTTTCTGCCTGCTACTTCACTGCCTGCAGCCATTTCCTGGTTCAGAGTCTGAACAAAAGCCATAAAACTGAGCAAAATGTTCAGCAACACCACCGTTTTTCTGCTGAGCTGTGCTTCTGTGGGACATACAGGTTGCCTTAGACTGTTTACTGATCCTCCCATGCAACTTTTGCACCACCTCCCCATGCCTATGAAGGGCACACCCACTTTCTGTCACGAGGCAGGAAAACACAACTACACTAAGATGAGCTCACTTGAACCACGCTGTACAGAGCTGTTTCAGGCTGAAGCCTAATTTTTACTTCTCCGTCTGCGCTGGTGCGGAGACACGTGATGTCATTATGCGTTAACGCAAGGGCTCTCCGACGGGCTCACAGAGGGTGATGGAAACATGCCCAAATTTTGAACAATCGGATGAAAGTGACAGAAACAACAAGCTTGTGAGTTTTTAACCAGAAAGTCTTTTCTGAAGGATCAGGCAGTTTTAAGATGAAGAATAAGAACTGAATGTCATCTACATAAAAGTGCTAGGAAATAAAACTAAATGCATTAATGATCAAAAGGGTGTATAATAACATGAATGTTTTTTTTTTCAAATGCAGAGGCTCTGGGTTCCCTACATTGCAGATCTGCTTATAAGGACACACACATGTGTTTGAAAGGTAAAATCTGAACCAGTTGGAGGATATTTTATTTTAAATTATGTGATTGATATTGTTTTGGTGTAACATACAGCAACTGTTAAAGGGGTAATGGGTTGTGTGTAAACAGCATGAGACATTATCAGCTAACTGTAAATACAAATATTTACCAGAATGTATGATTCAGAAAAATAAAACAAAATAAACAACCACCATGTTCTGCTGCCATGATGTGAATCCATACTCATCAGTATGGCTTGGGTGTGTGTGTGTGTGTGTGTGTGTGTGTGTGTGTGTGTGTCAGAATCAGGTGTGTGAGTGGGGGCACAGAGATAGAAAAGATTTGTTTTGTTTTATTTATCAAAGAGAAACGTGTTTCTTGTAAGACCTGCATGAATAAAGCATCCTGTTTGTCACCGATATCTGCACTCAGCCTCAGCGCTCTTTATTTCTCTCTCTCTCACACACACACACACACACACACACACACACACACACACACACACACACACACACACACACACACATTATAGATTTCTACTGATAGTCATTTCTGAGAAGAAAATAAGATTTCTATGTCTTAAAGATAATTCTTATAACATTTTCGTCACCTTTTAAGATACAAATTGTCTCATTTGCTTCAAGACTTATTGCTCCTTGTTATTTGATACATAATTGTTTGACTGTCAGTGGAAAATTTGGAAGTTTTCTGTTTCTCAGAAACAGGAACAAAGGAGAGGATTCTGCAGCACAAAGACATCAGGTAAAAAGGTCCAGAGGACAAAGGTCACACCCATAATAAGTGACACAACAGTGTGTGTGAAAAACATTTTACTAGATGTAGAACTTCTTATTTCTCTCAACTCATTCAATCAATTTGGTTTAGGATTGTGTTTTTAATGGATGTTTCCAATAACTCAAAGTTATTTTATTTTTACTCGTTGCCTTTTACAAAGGGGAGCAGTGAGAATAAAACAGGGAGGCAGTACCACATGATGAGAGAATCCACTTAGCTGGTCTAGAAGTTTATCTTATGAACGACTTTAACATTTTTATGATTAAAATAGCCGAATTTACACATGTCCTGTTCAAACTCATGGGAGAAGGGTGGTTTGAGTCGGAGGTGAGCTCTGGCTGCCCTCTGACGGCGCTGTGCTTCACCCACACGCTGCGGCTGGCAGGTGGGACATCAAAGTCTCTTTATATGTTTAATTACACATGCTGATGTTCAAATCTGTAAAATATTTTTTAATGAATGTGTGTGCCATATTCACCCTTTCTGATTGCAGTGAGAATGAACAGTGGGAGGCAGGATTCACCAATAGGGGGCAGTGCTGAGCCTCATAGATGCAGTTGCACGTGGCTTCCTGCAGTTTTACACAGATGATGGGCAGTGGCGGCTCCAGAAATGTTTTTCTGCAGGTGCTATGGAGGAGCTAGTCTTTTTGTTGAGGGTGCTATGAAGGAAGTGGTCGTGCGTACCTATTGTTCTCTAAAACACCTTCAACACTAGCAGATACACATGCGTGCACAAAACCTCAACAACACCTGAAACAATCATTATCATACATCATAAACATATGAGCAATCTCTGACTTTTCCATGAAATCATAAACACATACAGCCACACAGAAAACCATCTATAGTGTTGCAAGGTTAGCTAACGTTAGTGTTAGCCTTTCCAACGGCAAAACCCTCGACTGCTGCGGAGGTTGAGGGTTGACTCTCTTCTTCCAGATCCGTAGGTTTTTGTGGGCCTGAGATCACTTCCAAAGATTCACTCGTTTCTGACTGAACACGTGGAAAATTGGCAAACAAAAACCGATCCATTTTACCACTAGCTCTACCTTTCACTCAGTGGCGGAGCTTGATATGTGCAACATGTGCGGCCGAACAGGGCGGCAGTCTGCAGGGGGCGGCATTTAATTTCCTTTTTTTTTTTTTCTAAAATTTTTTTTTTTAGCATCAACCAATACATAAACAAAACATAGAAATCGCATGTTCTTAATAATAATAGTGATGATAATAATAATATCTCTGTAATAAAAGCACAACAAAGTGTAACCCATATTAACTACTCCCTGTCACATGACCCACGTCAGCTGTTGTGAGGTCCCTCTCCTGATTGGCTCCTTCCACGTCGCGACAACCATGAAAGCTGGCTGTGGGGGAATACTTCCGGGCTCGACTCCTGCTGTGGCTGTAAGCTTGTTGCTTGTAGAACGGCATTGGAAAACAAAGCGTTTTTCTCCCCTCAATTAATTTATACTCTCATTTTACCTCAGCGGTAAGTGTTCTTAACATCTACCAATAACACCCTTTTACTTGTCAGTGACCAGTCGATCGTTTTCGCTATAAAAAATGACCTTGTTCGGCGGAGTTCCCACCGCGAGCAGAACTCCGGTTCAAAAACGCTGTTTTGGAAACACTTTTATTTACTTAAGCACTTTAATGGGCTTAACTTGAAACCAAGAGCAATCGAATGTTTATTGTTATGTGTTGCCTTGAATTCGGCTATGCTGTCTGTCAGACAGTTGTTTTCCTTTATTGTTGTTTTTGTATTTGTTTGTAGCAAACGCTACTGAAATGTATAGATTGAGCTACGTAGCCAAGATGATTAATAATTGACCTGTTGTACATTCCTGATATGTTTACCGGTAAACTGAATCGAACTTGATGTGCTAATGAACGTTTCTCTGGCCTACAGGTCAGGTTTTTTCCCCCATGTTGAACTGATCTTCTTCATACTGAAGTGGCGAGCTGGGGGGGGGGTGGGGGGTGGTGGGGGGGTGGGGGGGGGCGTCACAGGGGGATCTCGCACAGGGCGCCATTTAGGCCAGCTCCGCCTCTGCTTTCACTCGTTCGCAGGTGGAAAATGAGGTCAAAGGTTAACTCAATTTCCTGTTTTGGTTTAAATTTTTACTATCTATATGATAATTTACTGATTATTTTTGTTTTGTATGTTAAATATTATCACACCCACACGTTCAATTAAAATTAAATTGTAAAAAAAAAAAATCTAATATTTACTTGGGGGTGCTATGGGGTAGCTATAGCGCCCCCTGGCACTGCCACTGATGATGGGGGGTGGGGGTGATGTGCAAAAAAAGTCTTAAATGGGGAACTCATTTAATTTTGTTTGGACAAAATAGAAGATAACCTGTGTTGGCTCACCCACAGGGCGGTGCTTGGAAGCCACCCTCTCGCATGTGAAGAGACAATAAATCCATTTATATTTATTATCAATGTGTCTACACTCAGAGCTTTAGTCATATGTTTAGTCTTTTTTGTGTGTTTACATTTTCCTTGTCTTTAATACACATTTCATTAGATTTTAAATAGATTTTTATGTTTTGGGTCTGTTGTTGGTCCTTTTACACTTTAGTCAATGAGCTGTTTTAATGTGAATTAGGAATAAAGTTGGTCTGATCCTTGTCGTTCAGAGTAGGGATGCTGACAGTCCAAGCACATGAGGTAAAATTCCACAAGCATGTGTTTAAACCCTTTAACATGTGAAGATGAACATCCTGTTCCCAAATCAAAATTGTATGTGATTGGTTAATAATGATTAGCCTCCGCCATGTGGAATAGTTACAAGTACGTTGTTAACACAAAGTCTGGATCAGTGTTTCTGTCCATCTGCTTGAGTAATGGTGACAGTTTCTCTCTGACCTGGCAGGGGGAGGGCTGTGTTTAAATGGATCATGATGCTCAGCTGCAGGACTAGCTGCGGAGCCGACTTCAGGAAAGCCTCCAGCAGACGGAGCATGGTGATGTCAGCACTCTCGAACATCAGCCGCCAGTGGAAGTGACGACGAGGTCCGTTGCTGTGCCATCGGCTTTGGGCTCCCAGGTAAAGGGCATGGATGTACCTGAGGGTCAGAGAAGGGTGAGTGTAGGAAGCTTAAGAGTCTTAACAAAATTGATCAGACATGAATCAACTGTTAAAAAAATAGAAACAAGAAAATGTTTAAATAATTTTGGGGTTAATTTAGTGATTAAAATACCAACATTTAAACAATGACTAAACGCAAAACAACTATTTTTTTCAGTGTGTTTATGAAGCTCCTGTGCATGACACAGATCATCTACAGAGCGACAGAGCAGGTCCAGATTCAGGCTACTACATTAGTCCCACCAAATACAATTTAACTGTAATAGTTAATTTGTTGTAATGTGACAATTAGACAAATTGGCTCTCTACATGAATGTGAACAAGGAAACCCCCTTGTTCCAAGCAGCACATGTAAAGAGAGGATTTTATTAACTTAGTTATTTCATTTGTTAACATTTATTTTATATAAACTAAGAACTTTAAAATGATTCAAAAACATCTTGCCAATTTGCTGATTCAGTTTGACTTTTATAAACCATCAACGTTCATCATCCATCAGAAGGGAAACCTCCACATCCCTCTAGCCACTCTCCAGTTCCTCCTGGAAGACCTTCTAAAGAGTTCCCAGCATTCCTGGTCTGGATCTCTTTGCAGAGGGACATGGCGGGAGGTCCTCCAGGACAGGGCGATTGGGAAGAATCCTAAATAGATGCCTGAACCCGCTCAGCTTGTTCTGTTCAATAAGGGGAAGCAGCAGCTCCACTCCAAGCTCCCCTAAGTACAAAAACTTCAATGGCCTGTTTTTGATATAGCACTTTCTAGAGTCCTGGAACCCCCCAAGATGCTTTACAACACAATCAGTCATTCACCCATTCACACCCTGGTGGGGATGAGCTACATCGTAGCCACAGCTGCTCAGCGGTGCACTGACAAAGGCGAGGCTGCCGTACACTGGCGCCACCGGTCCCTCCGTCCACCACCAGCTGACAAGGGGGGTTAAGTGTCTTGCCCAAGGACACAACGACAGCGACAGCCTAAGCGGGATTCGAACCTGCAGCCTTCCAATCACGGGGTGAGCACTTAACTCCTGTGCCACCGTCACCTAAGTTTATCAGGGACAGGCACAACAACACAGTGACCAAAACAGGACAGGTGCTTGGCACCAGCTTCTAGAATAAACCCTGATTTCCTCCTGCAGTCCCAGGGCAGCTAAATGAAGACATATTAAAATAATTAAAAACTCAAAATTAAATGAGCATATAGATATGTCATTTCACACACATGTTACAGCTACATTTACCCCAATCTAAAACCAGAATCCTGTGCTAGCCGAAACATCTGTTGGCACTATTCCGAGGTGTTATCACTATGAGCGAGCACAGTTTAAAATCTTGGAAAATAGCACAGCCCTCTGGAAGAAGAACGAGTGACACGAGTGTTTTGTTTCAATAATCGGCTCATATCCATGATCATCTGTCCTAATCTAATAAGTGGGACTTTAGAGGGAACATCATCCTCACTGCACTGATCCGTTGGTTCAAACCTCCTCCATCCAACCATCGCTCATTAACAAATCATTCCTGAGCTCCATCAACTATGCAGATCAAGCTGATTCAGGATCTAAACATGTTTATTTCCTTTCTGGATCATAAATAAATACCAAAAACTCATGAGCTAAAGTCTTAAAACGTCTTATACTTTTGTTTTATTTATTTATTTATTTATTTATTTATTTATTTATTATATTTTATTTTACATGCAGTCAGTCCCAGGTATTTTTTTTATCATATCCTTGATCTGTGAAGTTGTTTAGCTTCCTGCATGTACACTGGGTTTTCTTCATAATCATCTCACACATTTTTACATGGCAGAAAGACAGATGCATCATGGGAGACAGCGTGGTAAACATTCTAGCTAGAAAAACCAGCAGGAAAAATCAAACTCACTTTTTAGAGAAAATAATAAGTCACTCACATTCTGCTAGTGCAAGCAGCTTCTCAGTGGAGGGGTAAAAATACTCCAGCAACACACACACACACACACACACACACACACACACACACACACACACACACACACACACACACACACACACACACACACACACACACACACACACACACACACACACACACACAGCGACAGGCGGAAAGGCAGCAGCCAGGAAATCTGTAGCTCTGCAAATAATTTGCTGTCCAAGCACTGCTGACACTCCATTCAGCCTCCATATCTGTCTTCATCTCACCTTCTTTAGCTGTGTCTCCTTTTGATTCGTGACATTTATTTAGGAGACACTTTTATCCACAGCCTATTAGAAGTGGCAGACACATTAATTTGGGGGGGTAAGTATCTGCCCACCGGTGCCGGAACATGAACCAGTTTGAGGATCTGACTAAACGAGCCCTTTGACCTGCTTCATTCCTAAACTGTTGTCTTCTGTTTATCTTCTCTGTTCATTGTTCTCATTTGCTCCTTTTAAGTCTTAAAGGCTTAAAGTCATATTATAATACAGGAGTGTTACGGCCGACGCCGTTTGGGCTGCTAAGGCGTCTCGTCTCCTGTTCCCTTTGCAGCACCGCGGACAGCTGAAGGCTGCAGCTCTGGTTCAGAGTCACAGCTGTGCTGCCTTGGCTGATGAGCCTCGCTCTTCAAAAGCAGTCAACTGCAGTTAACCAGGGGGAGAGGAGAATTGGTTGAGAGTTGTGTGGAAACTTAGGGTCTTGTCTTCCCCTTGGTACTTGACTTTTTTCCTAGAAATCTAAATAAGCCACACAAACCGAGTTGCTATCATTGAATTTTCATTTCCTTGCTTATTTTTAGCCTTGCTCACCTGTTCCCTCTTTCCCTCACCCCTACCTCTCTTTTCTCTCCTCTGCCAAAACCCAATTTAATTTCTCATGCCTTCTTTGTTCCTCTTCATCCAATTTATATTCTTCATCCCTCAGGTGTAGTTCCTCAGGCTTTCAATCCATCAAATATGGATCCTCACCCCCTCTTTGTCTGTACTCTCCTCTGCTGCTCTCAGATGGACCGCTGAGGTTTTTGGTATTCATGGAGCAGGTTTGTGTGTGCAGACCAAACCCTTCGTTAATACTGTGTGTCATGTGTCATGGTCTCAGTCATTGAGGTTTTACCTGAAGAAGCAGCCATGGTTTAAAGTTGCTGCACCTTCATTTAAGATCTGAAATATTTTTGAAACAAACTTCCTCACATGGAAGAAAGCATTGGAATGTGTCCGTGAATGCATCCCACTGGTATTGAGATTAAAGGAAATTAGGATGATGGAAATCCTTCCATCTTCTGTACCCGCTTATCCATGCAGGGTTGCAGGTGGCCGGTGCCTATATCCAGCCGTCTATGGGTGAACAGGCGGGGTACACCCAGGGCAGATTACCAGTCCATCAAAGGGCCCAATCCCAATACTCGCACTTCCACCCTTGAGCCCTTCAATTGCACGATCCTAACCAGAGTTGCGAGTGCAAAGGGTGTCCCAATCTCCAGTGCAGAAGTTGATCATACCCCTTTTGCACCCTTGATCCACATTCCACCCAAGTCTGCATCGATGCAGACTTTGCTTGTTTGTTTGAAAGTTGTTAATAAAGGTTTTTGAAAACAGTACCACAGCGACTAGCATCCTGGCATGTGTCGCGATTGATGACGCAATGCTCCCGGTCTCAATTCAGTAATTATTTGCACACTTGTGTACCATGCACTCGAAGCATTATGGCGCACTTTAGTGCACATTGCTGAAGACCGCAGGGCGAGTACTGGGATTGGGCCAAAGACACACAGGACAAACAACTATGCACACACACACACACTCACACCTAAAGACAACTTAGAAAGACCAACTAATCTGACAGTCATGGCTTTGGACTGTGGGAAGAAGCTGAGATACCTGGAGAGAACCCACACAAGCATCACAGAGAACAGGAAAACTCCTTGCAGAAAGACCCCAGGTCAGGATTTGAACCCAAGACCTTCTTGCTGCAAAGCAACAGCACTAACCACTGCACCACTGTGCAGCCCATTGATAGAAATATAGTTTTAAAGTTATTCCACCAACAAGACAACCACATGTACAAAAGTGAGGTGTTGGAGTGAGATGGATGCTACCTGTGTGTGTGTGCGTGTGCGTGTGCGTGTGTGTGTGTGTGTGTGTGTGTGTGTGTGTGTGTGTGTTTGCTTCATCCGTTTTGTGGTTTTTATCAGAATTTATGTTTGGTGGTTCTTCGTCAGACGAACAAGAGGAGCTTGATTTCACTTTGGCTGACATGTTTTGTTGTACTGCTGCCTTCATCAGAGCTATCGCTCATGTTGGTGGCATCATTTCCATTTATCTTTGAGCAGCAGAGGATGATGTCACCCTCTACTGCCCGCAGCTTCTTCGTTGATCACTCCAATGATTGGTCCAGCGTGCATAGTCCTTCGTCTCTGTTCATGGTCCTGGATCCACGTCTTTTTACCTCAAGCTCTTCTTTTATCCATCTTTTGAATTTCTGTTGTTCTGTATTTAGGAACCGTGTTCTGTCCCAGTCCATTATATGATTTTCTCTTGTGCAGTTTTCTGTTACAGCTAATTTCTTTATTGTACTTTCTCTCTTTTGTTTTCTCGTGTGCCTCCGACTATTTTCCTTCTCCATTCCTTTATAATGTTTTATTTTTCATGTGTTGAGTTGGCGTCAGGGATGGCATAAGGCCCGGCTACTTGGGCTGAAGCCCCGAATGTTTTATGAAAAGCCCCAGATCTAAAACGTGGAAGTAACATGCAATACCAAAGTCCACCAGAGAGGGAGCAGCTGGCAGTAGTTTGTATACAGCCTGCCTGAGCCTCTACCACTGAAGAAGAAGCCCTTCAGCAGCCGGCTTCTTCTGCAGTCTCTGCCTGAAACGCATATGTGAAGATGGACATAAGGACGTTTTTTAGACCAGAAGTACCGCGACAGAACCCCAGCTTTGATGATACTGGTGTTGACTCAGGTTTGTGAGTCTTATTTGAAAATATTTGTTGTGCTGCTGGTTTGCCTAAAGTTAGCT